ATCTGACAGCCATGCATGCTAACTCCTGTTGCTGGTTTTGTACGATGCATTACTCTGACATGCCTCATCCCTGACTGACAGGAAACTACAGCAGAGTAAGAACAAATTCTCAGGTTTCTCTCCTTAAAGAACTTCAGAGTTGTGAGTATTACTCTCCAATTTTGCATCATCTGCTGTTCTTTCAGCTTTTAACTTCATGTTTTCTCTTAGTTTCTTCCTCTTCATTGAAGCTACATTTGCTCTGGCATTCTGTTTAGCTGTCAGGGGGAATCAGCTGACTTTATGGCCTCATTGTATGAAATGAATCTCTTTATGATAAATTCTACCCACCAACTACAGCTAAAAATGCAATTTTCAAAGTTTTGATCACTTTGATCAGAACATGTTTGCCTCTAAAAGTTTATACATATATATATATATCATTGCTTTCATGATTCAAATGTAACTTTTGTCTCAGCTAGAGCTTCTGAGGTGATTTGGAGAATACAGTAAATATAAATTAAATACTTCTGTTAGTGAAAGCAGTAGAAGGTGCAGAAGAAGTAGAACATATTTCCTTCTGTTTGTCTTCATGATGTCTGTTTTATCTTCATGGGTGAGCTGTGTAGGTTATCCTTTATCTACCTACACCTCCATCGGCCTGCTTACATCAGTACACATGGAAGTTCACAGCAGTTAATGGATACAGCTGGTAGCTTCTTCTTCTACCCACAACAGGCTCACGGTTTCTGACTGAGAGACCGTCGATAATATTCAGACAGATTCCCCCATGCCAAATGTTGATGTTTTCCAACCCTTAACTGTGACTTTTACTTCACTGTTGTAGGTTGAGCTCATTCATTACAACAGTTAATGTTCACAGGTCAAGGCAGACATTTTCCATTCATGCTCTGTTTCCAGGTCAGATTATTAATAAGTAGCTGGAATATGAACTTAGAAATATTTCAACTCCTGGCTTGCTGGACCTTGCTAAATTTGAGCATGCTATTATTATTATCATTATTATTATTATTATTATTATTATTATGCATTATTAAAAAAATAATTGCAATATTTTAAAACTTTTAAAACTTATACAGGAGTTTTATCTATCTATCTATCTATCTATCTATCTATCTATCTATCTATCTATCTATCTATCTATCTATCTATCTATCTATCTATCTATCTATCTATCTATCTATCTATCTATCTATCTATCTATCTATATCTATCTATCTATCTATCTATCTATCTATCTATCTATCTATCTATCTCTCTATCTATCTATCTATCTATCTATCTATCTATCTATCTATCTATATATATATATATATATATATATATATATATATATATATATATAAATTAAATTATTATATTTATATAATATATAAAAGTCGCTGGTCTGATGGGTTTCCAAGCTTTCAGACATTTTTCCTGACTTCTTCCTCAGACAAGTTGTGAAATGTCAAATATTGCCTTATAAAATCAAAACTGGAACTGGGGAAGTTTTTTTTTTTTTTTTTTTAGAAACATCTGTAATATATAAGAAAATGTTTTAATATAATAAAACATTATCTTGAGTTATTCTAAATCCTCAAATAATAAAATTCTGAAGATCGTTTTGAAGCTTGAATGTTTACTCCCGTCAGATGGAGGACGGGGATTGGATGATGCCTACTGTGCTCTGACTTGTCAGACGTGTTGGAGCGAAATCTCCAACCAACCACAACTACCAGCTGCCTTGCTCTGAGAGCAGAGGAGGAAACTTGGAGAGCTTGGGAGAAATTGCTGGGGACAGCCATTCATCCTGAGCTCAGGGAAGGTTTCCAAATCTGCCCCCCTTACATTCTTCTGGGCTCAAAAGAGCCTGAGGACATAAGTGGCCCAAAACTGGCACAGACCGCCTCAGTGTTGCCAAGGGCAGCCACTCTGTTGAGGCGTTCACGGGGCCTTTATTTTTTGTCTCCGTTACCTCACTTCCTGGTTTGGATCATTAACCTCCATAGGCTCCACATGTCCAACTCCATGCTCTGATTTGTATCTCTGTCTCTGTGTAAAAAATGTTCTTTAATAACATTGGCAGGTTCTTGAACAAACCTTGTGTGCATTTCCTATGTAGTCATAGAGAGAAAAAAGAAAGTAACTATATATATTCTCACAAGAATAGCTAAATACCTCAAAGAAGGTAGAAGGACTTTTTCCTTCGTCTTTAGCAGAAGTTGCTTTTTGACTATTTCAGTTTCAAACACTGTTCAGTAACATTGCTTCCATTCATACATGTTTGCAGACATGTTTCTCCATTAAGTTCACATCACAGCATTTCAGCTGGATCACATTTTATTTAAAAGCACCTTTCAAAACAAGCAGTACCATTTACAGTGAAAGCTCAAAACAAAAACTGAGCTGTTGGGAAGCGATTGCTTCAGAAGGAGTGGACTCTGTTGAGGTTTCAAACGTTATCCAGTCACTACGATGTTTCTGACAAATGTAATGCACAGATTTGATGCTAAGAAACTTACTGGAAATTGCCTGCGCTGTAAACAACCATCATCCACTGTGAAGAGAGAAGTACTGCGTCGAACGAAGTGGCTGTTGATGTTCAGTGATTGGAAGAGAGGCCGACGTGGACGGAACGGCTTCATTCACTTCCTCCTCTCTCATTGAGAAAAAAACAAGCAGACTACAACTCTAAAACAGAGCAGGAAACCTATCATCACAACTTCTTCTGTTTCCTTCTGGACCCTGTTGGGTCTTTTTGTTGTGTGAATTTAACTGTCAGTTTCATCACATTGGTTATGTCTGGTTAAAACCATTCCCTCTTGAAAATGACACTCTGTGTCTCAATGGGATTTAGCTGATTATAGTTATAGAAGGAGGGAGTATCAATCATTTATTTAAGTGGAAAAATTTAAATTCAATTTCTACTATTAATAGAACACCACATCTTGGAAAAGACAGAGACGTCAGCTGGTCTGGACACAACACACACTGCTGGTGTGTTTTCATTTGACACCTCATTGTTGAAAAAAAAAGGCCATATCAACTATTCAATGCTCAGAAAAACATTTTTAGTGATCTCACAATCAAACCAATTTTTTTAACGAAGTTTCTTTAATTTGATAAAAAAAAAAAAAAAAAAAGATAGCTGGAAAAAGCACTGAGAAGCAAGATCAAAAAGTTTCATTCATTCATTTTTGAAAATACTGTGAATGGATTATGGAGGAGGTTCAGTGTACATCGCATGTAATTATTTACAACGGTTATATGTTTCCAGTCACCCTGCACAAGCTGCTGCTTGTGACATAATTTGACAGATTAGTTATTTACCAAAGATTTCAAACCTGTGTCACACTGAAACAATTGACACAGATTGCACAATTTTGGTGGAGCTGTAAATCTTTGCTGACATTCTACCAAACTCACGTCCTGTCTGATCAATCAGCGACTGAGCAGCTCTGTCTGCACAAATGTTAACGTTCATGTGGATTTGTAGGAGAGGAAAGCAAACCCACAAATCCACTTAAACCAGGCGTCACTTACTTTTTACTCCCCACTCTTTGTTCCTACTGAAATATTTTGTCATAAGGCCCAAAATTCTTTGAAATAACAAAACAAAACAAAAAAAGCACAATTTTCGCTATTTGACAATTGCAATTTTATTTCTGATTTCAAGCTTTTTGACCTAGGAACATCAACCTTTTAAAAAAAAGTATGTTTTAGAGTGAAAGTAGCATATTTGTGGAACACTAAAGGAAATGGCATACATTGTGGGATGAGATTGAAAGGAAAATTTGGCAGCATAAAAAACAGAAACAGATCCCACCTGCATAAATTCCTGCATTTTTCCAGGTTGGGGGGGGGAAACCAGGAGGAGTCATTCAGCTAAAAGCTGATATTTACACACCAAATAGACACAAACATATTTTCTTCTCTCTGTCTAAGTTAAAGCAAACTCAACTTTTCTTGTTTTAACTTCACCAAAATAATTTCTATTTGATAAAAGCCAAAAAGCATAACAAGAAAATGTAGTTATTTGATTTATGTTTTTCTTTTTTTAACTTTCCCCATATTCAAAAGTTTGCATGCCCTTGGTCAGTAACAGGAACGACTGTCTTTTAAACTGAATGATTTGGGTCAAACTTTTTGGGTTGTAAATATCTGTTTCAAACTGTACATACCTAGCGTGTTTTTGCTGGTCAGGCATCAGAATGGCCACCCATTCAGCCTTGCATGCAGCGAACTGGACTGAGCTCCCCCACGTCAGTGACTATCAGGTTAGTCTTCCACGCATCACTTTTGATGCAGAATGTAACACAAAGTGGAGCTCCCGCAGATCCTCTGGAAAAAGTTACGCTCGAATCAGTGTGTGGCAAAAAACGTTTGTTTGCTGCATCACACGTCCCACACATCAACAAGTGACACAACAGAGAAAAGATCAGCGGTATTGATGACACCTGACAGACATCACTGTGTTTCATTTCATTAACTCAATTATATTTATGTGAGTAACGTTTTTTCACATGAGCAAAATTTCTGGATTCTCTACCCACTGAATGAAAAACAAATATCTTTTATCCAAAACTTCACCAGAATTGTGTAGTTGTTGTTAAAGTTTCATATTGAAAGAAACTGATTTGGAAAGGTTTTCTTTTGTCTGATTTTTTTTATTCTTTTTAAAATTATTGTCATTTCTGTCCTTAAAATACCAAAATTTCCACTTAACTTTATGTTTTGGTTTCTTCTGATTATGTTTTTTTATTTTTTTTATTTTAAATGACTGATAATTTGATCAGCTGAGTAACTTTTCACCAAATACTTTATTTATTACTCTTGAGTAATTCCTTGAACAGCTACTTTTTACTTTTACCAGGGTATAAATATGTTGAAGTAATATTCCTCTCAATTGAGTACAATTTTCGGGTATTCAGGTAAAAGTGGTCACACTGTGGAAGAGCCAGAGTGTTGGGGAGTCAACAAAGAGCGATGAGGACTCACGTGTCGCTGCGGCCATCTAGTGGAAGCTGAGAGCAACAAGAAGATTTATTTTACAAAGAGAGTCATGAAGTCAGCGTTACATGTGATTGGGTAACAGAAGAAAACATGGCTTAGTTTTTGTGTCAGCACAATAAACATACAAATAAAAAAAATAAAAATACATGCACATCTGAAAGTGTGCACCACAAAGTGGGTCCCGAACAAAGGGAAACACTCTGCAGTAAAATGTCCCTCTTGCAGTTTTTGCACACAGGATGTTGTAAACGGCGCTGAACAGGGATCGTATTGCTGTAGGCAGGAAGTTGACCCGGAAGTCAAACAGGATCCAAGTTGGTGCCTGGAAATGAGTCCAAAATCCAACATATGAAACTTTTCCCGTCTTTAGGGTTTCATCTGAAAGACCAACAGAGTGGTGCCGAGTTATGACTTTAAAGGAAAGTCATAACTTTCCTTTAAAGAGTGGCATGGATTTCAATATAGACACTATTACTGTGATGCCCCCAAAGAAAATTCAATGCAGCTGCAGTTGTCTTCTGAAGTCACTTCATTACGGTCCAGAATCCAGATATGTGTAATTCAATCTCAGTATGTATACAGCTGTTTAAAGAACACTTTAGAGTTGTTGTTTGTTTTTAGTAGCTGAGTTTCCATTTACCTTAAAATTGCACAAATTGGAGTTACAAAAATGCATTTACTTCAACATGGAAACATGGCGATTTAAAAAAAAACACATTTTTTGTTAAGAGCTTTTGTGCTTGGATGAAGTGGTTTTTCAAACGCATCAAAATCCGTTCATCTTGTAAAAATTGCAATGAAAATATGTTCTCTACTGGCAGAAAGGACAAAGAAGACGACAGAAAGAGGGAGGAGAGCAATGACACAGCATGGTTTTTTTTCCCTCATAAACAAGTTGAATTCAAGTGTGATTTCAACTGAGTTTCTTAATGTAAACACTGCAAATGTGAAATTTGTATTTTTCCAACATTAGCAGAATAGCAACAAAGTTTGGAAAAGTAGTTAGTGAATAACAAATCAATAGGTCAGATGGAAAAATACACTCAGTGGCCAACCATTAATTGTGGACTTTACAAATCTGGTCTTTGTGAAAGAAAGACAAAGAGGCCATAAAAAGTCCAAATTTACAGTTTACAGCCAGACGTGGCTTAATGGACAGAGCAAAACTGTGGAAGACGATGTTCTGATCAGATGACACTAAAGTGTAACAATCGGACCTCTAGTAACAATTATATGCACCGTGAAGAATGGATACATGAAAAATGCACACCACACTTTTCAGATTTATAAAGTAAATGATAACAAAAAGCATATGTCACTTTCATTCCACAAAATAATTATCCACTGATGCAAAAAGAACAGCATTTCACGCATGGTTAATTTCATATACATGATCATAACTCACAAACAGGAAGTGGTACACCACACAGGAGTCATGTCATAAGAAAACACTATCTTAAAGGAACTAAGACTGTAATACTACACTTAAAGGGGCAGTATTATGTGTTTTCCAGGAAACTAGTGCCATTTTAAAGCATAATCAAGTAACTATGTTGCTTGATTATGCTCTCTCTACAAATCATTAAAATAAATTTTACCTTTTAAATTAACACCTTGACATTGGGCCTCTGTCTCTTTAAAAGCTCCTGCTCTTTCTGAAGCTCTGTCTTCAGGAGGTCATCACAACATGGCTCCTCTGTTAACTCTTTAACAACATTTTTACCAGTGTTTCACTGAGAAGCAGCTCATATAATGAACTCAGCAGATGCACAGACCCACCAGGTGTTTGCTAATTGCTGCTGGCTAGTCTGAAGGAGCTGAATGAGGGAGATCGGAGGAAGGCTGCTCTGTGAGGTGGAAGCTTTGAAGCTTGGGAACTGCAGCTGGGGCAATACGGGATATATACCAGCTATGTACTGCCACCAGTTTGTTCAGACCGGGATGATATGAAATGTATTGTGCAGTGTAAGTGTAGCTTACTGTGTAAGCTACACTTACACTGTAAGCATCAACTTCTCAGCCGCGTGTCGTGTTCAGTCGTACTCCAGGCATCTTGCCAGTCATTTTCAGGATGCTTACTGGTCCCCTAAAACCATGAAAACCTGGGCATTATCACCAGTCAATAAAATCCCCACGTCCGAACTCTAAACTTGGCGTTATGATGGTAACTCTTAGCTTTCGTCAACAACTCATAGGCGGAAGTCAGAACTCCCACCGCGCAACGCACATAATGTTTCGGTTGGAACACGATGCCCTAAATAATAAAACATAAATGAACAAAGCTTCAAGGCAGGTCAATTTTCCTCAGGAAATTTTAATAATGGAGGAACTCCAATCATTGGAGGAATTGTTTCAGCCCTACATTATACTGCCCCTTTCACAGAACCTGGAAGTTACTTAAACAAAAAAACCCTGTATTATCTGTATGATTAAATCATCTACAAATATTGTCGTCACTTCATCTCACTAAGATAAAATGTTTTGTAAAATCCACCTTATCTATAGTTCCTAAATCACATAAAGTGAAAAGCAAAGACACGAGATGAAATACATATCAGCAGTAAAACAGATTTCCCATATTGGTTTGCCTACAAGTCCAGGCGTTGGGGGGAAGGAGGGAAACAAAACCTTCCAGAAGGATCCCACCCTGACAGGGATGAAACCTCCACGCAGACATGGAGTCAGGCGCCCCACCATGCGCTCCACGATGCGCTCACACGCGTTGCTCAGCTGCTTCCAGCAGGGGGCAGTGTTACCTGTTACATCGCATGCTGCTCTGAGTCTGATGGAGGAAAGAGGCGGTTCAATCCGTCGGCGGCTCCGCGCTACAGATACTCTTCTTCTTTGACGTAGAGGATCTCATGGGCTGGGCTGGGAACCTGACGGAGGCAGGAAAAAGACGGGCAGTCAGGGGCCGCGCATATTCCCCCCCGGGGCCCCGCGGTCGGTGCTTGGGCTCTAATGAGTGAACATCCTCCAGCTGGAGTTAAAGATGTGCTGCTGGCCACGTTTTATGGTGACACAAATATTTATCAGCTACTTTTTCAAAGTTTCCGAGGTATACCGAAAAACAAATATATACATGTTGCCCTAATATATATTTCAAACCAGAACTGAATAAATTCCAACATGTGTTCATAATAATTTCATGAAATCATTTTAAACTTTTGAGAATTTTAAGAATTTTTTTCTTCTTATTGCTCTGATGTAATAATCTAATTTTAAACAATTTCAAAAGCATTAAATCATCATTAAATTATGACTTTCATAATTATTTATTACAATTTATTTTGTTGATTTGAACAAAAATAAAGAATTGGAAACATGAATTTGCATGGAATGAACCTATATAGCCCAGTAGCTGATTTGAGTTAATAAATGAATAAATGAATGTTTCTATAATATTCTAATTTCTTAAAATGGGTCTGTAGGTAAAATGTTCTACTCCAGTTCTTCCAGTTTTGACTCCTCCCTGTTTTTGGCCCTTGTGAATGTATTCCTACTGAACAAACATTTTCACATTTCATCCCACTTTTACCTGCTAACACAACGTAACGTAATTGTAAAGATTTGCCCTGCAAATCACATGAAGTCATCAATAAGTTGAAACGGGCGTCAAACAGGCCAGGCAGACCCTGAATGTGGGTAGTTTGAATTTGATAAAATATGAAGAACTGTGCTTTTCTAACGTACTGCATGTTAAACCTAAGCATGTTCTTATTGCTGCTGCGACTCAGATCTTCTGGCATCAGGTTAAAGTGGCAAAATTAAAACCCACATGAAAAAAAAGTCAACAAAATGAAAGCAATAATCACAAAATATTCAATGAAAGATCATAAAAACAACCTGATTAATGTGTTTTAACTTCTTTATAATGAAGCAATCCTATCTAATTTTGAAAAACAATCTCAAGGGCAATAAAGAAAAGTTTATGAGGAGGATCTGATCAGCATGACAGAAAGAAAAAAAATCTAAAAATGATCAGCAAATATGACTTTGGTTCTGTAAAATCTATCTTAACTATCTGTGGTAATTCATAATGATATTTTTTGGGGGGAGGGGCATTAATTGCTGCTTGCCTGCTGTTTTCCATTTTGCTTATTTTCTCCTGCAAACTGAAGTTAAGTCTTCCTCCACAAGCATGAAACAGCAAAGTCTGTCCTCTTGGTGTCTTCAAAACTCAACTAACGCCATACATTTTCACCAAACCACAGCCTCAAGAGGACAAAATGCAGATAAAACAAATGATTTAATAAAAGCTCAGTAATAATGACATTAATAAGTGGAAATAGTGAAATGGTGAACAGCGCTGCACCACATCGGATGTCCAGAAATCCAGAAAAGCGGCACGCAGCAGACAGCGTCTCCTGTCAGGAGCGAAACGGTGGTTTCAGCCCATGAAGGCTTCTTTCTGCTTCAGCCTCACTCTGAGAAGCATTTGCATATTATGACAAAGATTTTATGCTTTGCTGGGAGAAAAGGTGAAGTTTTCTACCAATTCTGTTTGAATTTAATGTTAGATAATGATGAGAGCATTGATGTAATGTTTAGTAAGATGAATTAACAGTATATTTTACAGTTCAGTTGTAAAATAGTACATATTGTGTGTGCAATATGTTCAAGTACGCAAATGATGACAGTAATATCATATAAGACCTTTAAAATTCATGAATGATTTTGAAGTTTTCTTCACTTCATGTCTTTCTTTAAGTTATATTATTGAAAATATTGCCTCTGGTTAAAGTTTAGCAGTTCTTGCTTTAGGTTTGCGACATTTTCTCTTTTACTCATTAGCTGCAGTCATAACCCAGGTAAATCACCAAGCTTCTATTAAGGTTTTCAATTTGCGTTGCATTTGCTTTAATCCTCTCGGCTGTTGGCCTTCCTTCTTACTCGCTTTTCTAAAACGTCTTCCTACTCGAGATAAGGGAACTTCGACTGCTAAGACCTTCACAGAGCATTACTTCAAAAAAAAAAAAATCAGGACGATCCCTTTAACATACACACACGATGGAGTGTAACGTGTGTGGGGTTGTTTTTAAACCTGGTTGACTCCTCCCACCACCAGGAGGCGATCTCTGATGACAATGGAAGAGGCGGAACATCTGGGGAAGTTCATGGGAGCCAAACGTTCCCACTTCTTCTTCTGAGGGTTAAACGCCTCCACCGTGTCCAACGCTGAGGGTTCGTGACCTAAAGTGGCAAGTAGAGACAAATGCGTATTAATGCGTCCATATCTGCCAACAAAAACAACAAACTTATTCATAATTTTGTGTGTAAATCCATTACATTAACAGTGTTAAACAGGTTGTTATCACAGCTCTATATTCAAGGCTGAGGTTCACCTGAACAAATTGACTCTGATTACCAGCTTATTTTTGTTCCATTCAATTTAATAAAAAGAAAGGAGATTTTATTCATGCCAAAAATAAAGTTTCTTCGGTTATTGTAGATTTCACTGTTCCAGTACAGTAGTGTGAAAAAATGTCCACTTCCTTAATGACTTCCTGTTGTTTTGCATGTTTGTCACACTTTTGTGTTTTAGAACATCGAGCCAATTTCAGTATGAGTCAAAGACACAAGTCAACACAAACTGCAGTGTCATTAAGATGGAGGGGAAAAAACCCTGCACTGCAAAAAGGATAGAACCAGATTCAACTCCAACATAATTCCATCATAACTTTAAACTGAACTTGAAACATTCAAGGTATTCAATGCACATGTATTAATAATTAAGAAATTATTTCTGTATTTGTTTCCATTGTTAGCAAATTGACACATCTAAAGAATTAGTCACAAGTTATTGATTTCTGGTGACTCTCCATATAATTGTGGTGCTGTGATTTTGGGAATAGCTGAGCAGCAGAGCTTCTTGTTCCCGTCTTACCAAGTCCACCTGCAACCACCATCCTGCCGCGCAAGAAGGCGGCGGCAAAGTCTGCTCTCTTAGTTTTCAACGCCACCGTCTCCTCGGACTTCAGCCAGGCACCTGGAATGGAACAAGCAGAGAGAGAGAAAAAAGACAGCTGGGGTGAGCGAACGTGTGTGCCCGAGTTTGTGTGTGTGCGTGCGCGCGTGTGTATGAGCAAGGTCACACAAAGTAGCCGAGGTGAATTCCTGAGGCAGCGAGGTCCACCTTCAGCCAGACGGGACGCTGCTGAGTTTTCAGAGTGTGACCTGCACCAACAGGTCACCCTGGAGGCAGCTGCAGTTAGAAGAGGTGAGCACACTCTGTCCCCCCCCTCCACACACACATGCGCAAACATATACATACACACACACACACACACCTGTCAAGTACTAAAAAAGGTTAGAACAAACAGGCAAAGGAAGGAAACAGGTCAAGTCAAAGATGGCCATGTGGTGGTGAAGCTGATGCCTGTTGAGAGATTGCTGAACATGTCTGGACTGTGCTGGAGGAAAAGCGGTGCTGATTCAAACTAGAATGGTTCATGAATCATAAATCTGATGCAGGCAGCACTGAGCACTGGGTGACAAGGTGGGCAGCTTTTCCGTTTCCATAATCTGTGAGCTTTGATTTGGCAGAATTCCCTAAAACAGCAACAAAAGTTTCTCATTCTACTGGATTGAAGTGGAAGCTGTTTGCCCTAAACAAGACAACAAGAGAGAACCCTGATTGCTTCTGCAGTGGCTTGAGAAACAGTAGAGTTTCCCGGGAATGCTCGGCTCAGAATAAACCAGGTAGGATAAAAGGCAACTTTTACAACCCCGTTTAAAACATTCTGTAAATATATAAAGATTAGTTTTGTAGTCTAATGTATAACTTAGATGTGTAATTTGCACAGTTTATTGTTAATTTGTGTCGCCATGTGGCTCACATTTCATCGTTGGAGCCTTTGGATTTTGGATTTATTTAAATCGCTTGATTAGTCCATGTTGTGTTCGTATTTGGGTGGCATTGTAGTATTTTTATTTCTCATATAAGTGAATTTGTACACTTATATGAGAAATGCTGCGTCTCTTTGTGATGTCATGTGCAATCAGTGGATGCATTTTAATAAAAATCAGGAGACTTGATCTCCTTTGTAACCGCCGTAGCGGTTATAACGGTGCTGCCACTAAAGCCACACTAAGGGGAGTAAAGCACAGCTGCAGTCATAAGCATGAGGGAAATCTGAAATCTGTCGTACGCTGGAGCAGCTACTGAAGGCTAAAATCCCAACATGCCTGAAACCCCATTAAAAATATTGAACGGAGCCGCAGGTGTGGAAGATATTACACCTGATGTTTAATCTCCTTAAATCTACATCGTTTAACGAAGACAAAACATTTCATTTACGGCCACCTGAAAGGCTCCAGATGATTTTTTTTTTTTTTTGTAAAAAACAAACACACAAAAAAAAAACTAATTAAATGAGAACGTAGCCATCAAAATGAAGTTTTCTTCTTTCCCAACAGATCCAGCAAAAAGTTTTTCTTTCTGCTTTCAGACTTAAAGCTGCTGCCAAATCTTGTTTATCTGAAGGAAGGCCAGGCAGGAGAAAATTGTGACAAGGGAAGACAGATAACTTCATTAAGGATGTAAGGGAGTCAGTGAGAATTAAAATGATGGCGTGATCGAGCAGGAGTGAAAAAAAGAAGATTCTCCTCTTTGTCTGCTTATCTCACTCCTGCTCTTCAGTCCTTGTTTTTCTTCTAACCTCTCTCTGCGATGCATCCCTCTTTCCTTTTGATTAATTTCTGGTCTGCTGCTGAAACGAGCAGCGAGAGAGTAAACAGCAGAGGCAGACAAAGTGTGGAGAGAATGAAAAAAAAATTAAGGGGAGAGAGAAAGAGAGGGATAAGAGGCCAGATGGGGAGTCGTCCCTGAGGACTCTCCTCTCCTCTCCTCTCCTCTCCTCTCCTCTCCTCTCCTCGCCTCTCCTCTCCTCTCCTCTCCTCTCCTCTCCTCTCCTCTCCTCTCCTCTCCTCTCTCCCTCTCCTCTCCTCTCCTCTCCTCTCCTCTCCTCTCCTCTCCTCTCCTCTCCTCTCCTCTCCTCTCCTCTTCAGGGAAAAGCTGCTTCTCTTTGTGATGTCATGTGCAATCAGTGGACGCATTTTAATAAAATCAGCTCTTATCATCTGTAGCACTTAAAGATGCTTTCAGTGACTGCATCTAAGGTTCCACCTTCTACCTTCGTAATGAGAGCTGATTTGTTGATGTATAGTTTAGTACAACTTGATGCAGCAGGTAAAGTGAGTTTTGAACAGATGGACTTTTTTTCCACCACTCAAAACTTTCTTTGTTTCCTTGTTTTTCCTTTTTCTGATCCACTGTGTCAGCCGTACCACATGGAGAAGCTTGATCTACGACAGAATATCTGCATTCTGATGCCGTGAGATCACCGACATTTTACTGACACCACGAGTGACCCAAATACGCATACACACCAAAGAAAATGAACTGCACAAACGAATTTATGGGTAAAATAAAACAGTCAGAATGACACGGGAAAATAGTATTAAATTCTGGTCTGAGATTTGTACAAAAACCTGCTTTATTAATCCAAATAAAAACAAATGTCTGCTTTCTTAAGCCACTTTGCTATCTATTAATTTTACATACATCTATATACACACACTAGTCCATTATTGCTAAAAAAAAACATACATAAAACAATCCAGACTTCTCAGAAAATGCTATGTAGTTGCATTTTATTCAAGCTGCAGTATATAACTTTAATAAAAAAATATGTTTTCTCCATATTTGTTAAAGCTGGCACCATGTCGTGCCAGTTTGTCAACATTTATGCCAGTAAATTATCTGTGAAAACAATCACCACCTGAACTATTACTGGCTAAAGTAATGCAACGTTCCAACCAAAACAACCACTCAGAACCAGGAGGAGGGTGTTAGTGCTGTCAATCATCCCCAATGACTTCCTGCTAATTATAGGAAACATGTTTATCTGCTGTCATCGGTAGCTTTGCTAACCAGACTGAGTATTCACAACAGGCTGCTGCAGCTGCAGCAGCAGCTGCAGCAGAGGGATGAGCAGCCACATGAGATTGTGATTGACAGCACTAAAACTCTCCTGACTCTGATTAGTTGTTTCTAGAAGACAGAGGAAATAGATTTTTTAACAGATTATCTCTCACACCACACTGTCACAACATAATGACAGTTTTAACAAATATGTAAAAATATGTTTTTGTAAAAGTGACGTACTGCAGCTTTAATTTCATTGAGGAACAGGATGGGTCAGGAGGGAGGTGGGCTGGAGCTGCTGCTGACTGACTCACCTGTTGTTAAATGGTAAAAGACAAGTTAAGTATATAAGCATGTTGGTATTTTTTTCCTTGATTCATTAAATGTTAGTGAAATGGAGGCAAACAGTCTGTAGCTAAGCTAACTGTGCTGAATGGTTGACGATCTCAGACAGTCAACCCACCTATCGGAGAAAAACTGGGTTATAAATTGACACTTTTACCTTTTTCTCTCTGTTTCTCTGTTTTTTTGAAAACCTAACGTTATTATTTTCTCAGCTGCTCAGTAACTGTCACAGTCGTTCTTGTCTTCTACTGACTGCTGCTCAACATTGTGAAGCTTCAAGCAGGAAGGAAGCATTTCATGCAGATCCAGGGAGGGTAACATTTCATTTTTACTGCTAAAAACTACTTTAGAAAACACAATATAATTCATTTTGTAATTGACAAGGCCCCATTTGTTAAAATTTCTATGAACAAAAATAAAAAATATAAATTGTAGAGGGCCCCCTGTTGGTCTGGGGCCCTTGGAACTGTCATAACTTTCCCTCTTATACGCCCCTCCTGCTGCCACGTGTCTGAAAAACCATTTGATCCTATTCAGTCTCTGCGTAAATCTTTATTTCATAAGAATGGCCCAAATCTTCTAGAACTAAGCTCCATCAGTTTGCCAAGCAGGACCAAGAATCACACAAGGCTTCACATTAACATGTTGGGTCTTTGTGACGCAGGCCTAACAGCAGCATGCATCACAAGGATAGAGAGACGGAGATAAAGCACAGGAAAAGGGGGATGACGGCAGAGAGAAGGTAAGACAAAAGCATGAAGGAGACGAGGGATTCTCTGAAGACCGGGCTTTGTAGTCTGCCTGGTTTTAATTTCGTCCGCAGCTCTGCTCTGTAATTCTCCCTGGTGATTAAAACTAGAGAAGGATGGTGATTAGTTCTTGAGCTTTGATGGATTGCGCCTGTCACACGTGAAATCTCAAACACCTCTGACTGAGAGACGATGCTTTTGAACAGAATGTTTTCTACCTCCGTGGGTTTTTATGACTTGATGGGACAGAAAGACCGTTTTGATCTCTCATTTCTCGTCCAGTCCTTTGTTGTCCTTTTTAACCATTTCAGTGTTGATACAAATCCAATATTAAATATTGGAATGTGGTTTTTTTGCTCACTAACAACGAAGCTTTTTAGTTTCTCTGTTTTTTTTTGTTTGTTTTTTTTTCTTCAGCACATAAAGATGACAAAAAGAAACTTGTGAGCAGAAACAATTCTCGGCAACACTTTATCTAAAGGGCCATACATAAAACTGACACGAGACTGTCATAAACATGTCATAACACCTGTTACAAACATGAAGGAGTCTTTATGAATGTCTTCATGAAGCGTCATTCAGCAAATAATGACACTTTTAACACAAAGCTGCATTAAAAGTGTCAATTTGGCAGTATTCAGTAAATAATGAAATATTTAATGCAAAATCCAATTAAAACTTGCATTAAAAGTCAATTTAAAATGTCAACTTTGCATTCAAAGTGCCATTATTTACCAAAGGCCCCTTCATCACCAGAGTTATGAACTATCATGAAGACTCCTTTATGTTCATAACTGTTGTTATGTCATATTGCTGAGTTTCCTGTCAGTTTTATAAACTTCACATAAAGTGTCACCTGATTCTCTCTGTGCAAAGCAACCAATAGTCAATAGAAAACCACTCACCTCTATCTAGATATAACTGATTACATGTACATGTGAGGGTTATTTTATCTCTTTAATTTACTAATTTGTAGTGAGATCCACTTAAATTGTGTAAAAGGTGTCTTTTTTTATGCTTGTTTTTAAACGTATCTAACTGAAAAAATGATGTAAGCAGATTTGGGTGATTTTGCTGACAATAATCATTATGGTCTTATGTAGTTTGATCTACAAACTGTTTTTCTTCGAGCTGGGCAGTGTTCTTGACGCTGAACCGAATGACGTAATCTTTCCAATTTCTCCAGATCTGTCAGCGTCTGCCTCCTGCTGAAGGAGAACAAGTGATTGTTTCAGCGGTTGAGTTTTCTGCGCTCAAATCCACAAAGGTCATTCATTTTCATCTCTGCATTGTTTTGCTGTCACTGGCTGAATTTAAAACAGTAAGCTTGGGGAAATGAACATTCAAGTTGTCTCTGAAAAAGTTGCTGTAAAAAAAGAAAAAGCGACCAAAGTGTGGCAACATGTTTTACAGTTGTCGTTTTTTTTTTTTTTTTTTTTTTTTTCCAATCTAAGCTCATAAAGTAGACAAGCAGCAAAAGAGGAAAGTTGTAAAACATTTCCACTGCGATTTTGGTCTCAAGAAGCTAAAAGTGCAACAATTTCCTCTCCACAAATAGACTTTGGGTGTTTTTTTTTTTTTTATGTGTAACCCAGAATACAACATCCGCTAACAGGCGTGTGTCTTAATGCTGGAGAGATGGAACAGTAATACAATATCAATGTGTCACAGCAGATTGCATGGCAGTGTGTCTGTGTGGAGGAATATTGCTGCAGATGGATAATAAAGTAATCTGTTTCTGGATCTTGTAATTTGAAACGGTCCTCATCCCCCAGCAGCTCATCTCCCATCTCATCTCAGGCAGAATTAGATTGGAGAAAGCGACTGCGGCTGTGGGCTCGTCAGCAGGGATGCTGAGACGTTTGTGTGTGTTGGGAAGCATTTCCCCTTTCCGTTTTTCTCTCTCTCTCTCCAAACACACAAGTCAATCACCCCCCCTCCCCCCCATTATCATATATTAACGTTATCGCCGCCGTGTTCTGCTTTATTCGGCTTCCATTCGACCGATCCCTAAGTGTGACTGGATGCCCGGCTGTCTGGAATGACTTATTGATTTTCTCTTTCCCATTTCTTCTTCCATTCCCCCCCTCAATTTGTTCACCTGTGACACTGGGCCGCGTCGGCTGGATGGAGGCATGAGTCTGACGGAACCAGCCTGTTTGCATCGTAACCTCTCTCTCATTACCATCAGCAAGAACGTGTCAAGTTGAAGCAAAGTGGACAGATGTCTTTATCTTTGACAGCAGAGCTGAGTCGCAGAATGTTTGTGAGCCACTATGGTAAAATTATGAATGTGAAAGCATGCGAAAAGACGTTTCTAACCTTGTGTAAATATAAAGTTGAGCTTTGTCAGTGATTCTAGTTATCTTCTTTGTGTAAGCGCATTTTAATTGGTCATTAAATTGCACAAATGGGGATTTAAAAAAATAAAATGTGCTTAATTAAACATGCAATTTTGGAAAAACAAAGTTTTTTGACAAAGTTTTTGTGCTTCGTTGAGGCGGTATTTCAATTTCCTTCATCTGAAATGTATGTTGTTTTTCTTTTACAGAACTGCAACAGAAACACTTTTTTCACATGATGTCAGTTTGTTTGCGGTAGCAATGTGTTTATTCATCGGCCTCCTTGATATTTTGCAGCTGGCTCCACCAGAACTCTCACTGCTTCTCAAAGTTCATCAAAACTTGAGTTTTCATTTGAAAGTGTTGAACCCATAGCTCCATAACTTCAGTAAAATCACAGACTACAATTTCCCCAAAATGTTGCATAAATAGCTGCTCCCAAGGAGGCGGGGCTTGTCGCTCCAACGCCTGAATAAGACACAGATGTCTCCTCTGATTGGCTTATAGGTGACGAACACTAGCACTATGGCTGAATTATGAATAATGTCTTATCTAACTGTTTACATTCGTCGTTGCCATGATTTTTCCATCCATTCATTTTCTAACGCCCTTGTCCCTAGTGGGGTCAGAAGGTGCTGGTGTCTATCTCCAGCGGCGTCACCCTGGACAGGTCACTAGTCTGTCGCAGCCATCATTTTCCATTCATCTTAAAATTGTGCAAATTGACATTTCGAAAATAAATTCACATAATAAATACATACCTATTTTGGAAAAAAACAATTTTTTTGATGTAAATCTTTTGCACTAGGATGAAGGGGTATTTTTTTGTTCATATCAAAATTAGAGTATTTTGCAAAACTTCAACAGAAACACTTTTTTCACATCATACGAGTCACATGATCAACAACCAGATGTTGCTACTGGAATGGAAAAGAAGAGGTAGAGGACAGGAAGTGGTAGAAGGAAGAACAACTTATTGTGTTAACAAGCCTATTCAGATGGCTATGATAACTAGGATCAATATGATTGAACTGAAGTGACTCTTGGTAGAGTGCCTTGAGACCACATTTGTTGTGAATTGGCAGTTTATGAATCCACTGGACTGAATTAAATGAATGATATTTCAAACTTAAAAACTATCACTATCAGTATCAGTATTGGCTGTGATACCAAGTGAATGTTGATTCACTTGGTATCAGATCAATATTAAATATTCAGTATCGCACACCTTTAATTGCCAGCATGTCGGTGTCATGGTAACCTGCAGCACAACGTCCTGCCTGTCACGCAGCTACGGTTAGACTGATAGTCAAAGTAACTGCCTTCTGAAATATACCATCACAAGTGAAAACTGTAAGATTTCTTTTTAGCGTTTTTTATAACCATATATTCATTTTCTTACATGCAGAATGCCATTACAGAGAAAAATGCAAACATATTTAGCTTCATAGTGACGCCTCCCAGAGATGGCATCACGATCAATTCGCAAAAATCTTGCAAAGCAGAAAAGTCATGAGCTCCCCCATCACACAAACACACACACACACACACACATGCACACACTGCTGTTGTGTACAAACAGTGTGCACACACTCTCTTGCGTGTGCTCAGTCTGCTCCATGCTCACAGTATCGTCGTCATTAACGACGGTGGAAAAAGTCAACGTTGAAAAGCCGATGACACTTGACTGGGGGAGACGCTGACAGCGAACGGCATAAATGCAGCTCGTCGTTTGGATCGGAGGGAAGGGAATCTGTTGGAGTCGGTGGCACATTCTGCTAAATAATTGAACACGGCTGTGTGCCCAGAGCTTTACTCATTAATCAGATTTATGTGAGTCCTAATCAATGTCATCTCCTCTGGGGTTTTCTCCTTGCTCCTCGTGTTCGGTAAGTCGGAGTTAAAAACGTTACCGAGAGGAGAATGTCAAATCTATTTGTAAATACACTTTGACTGAGAGAGAAGTTCATTTTTTCTTTGACTGTATTTTTTAAGGACAGGAGATGTCAAAAAAAGGGGAAAAGAACAATCTTTCGCCACCTTAAATGCCTCCATTGCTGGATTAAAAAAGTGGAAGTGACTCCATCAACCATGGAGCTTTAACCTTTGACTGTTTAAGTTTTATATGACAACGATGCCTGAGCCCAGCTGAGGTCAGCTATTTTATAACACAATTTTGACAATCTGCGCACAGATGATTCCTAAAGATTCTGTAATTGGTAATTAAAAAAACACACAAGGCAAGAGTCATTTTTAGTTTTTCAGACATTGCCTAGAATAAACAGGGAGTGAGGGAGAAGGCTTCATATTGAGCTTTTAGAGAAAACGCAGAAGGAGGCAGGCTGCCACCCACAACTTCTTAGAAAGCAAACCGACTCCTGGAAGTGGAGCCCGGCTGATCGAACTCTGCTGCTCTACATGGTTCTCTTGGCTGGCCGCAAAAACACCAACAATGCTCAATACGATCCCACTTCTCCAGTCGATTCAAACTGAACATGCAGATAGAGTGACGAAGATGTGTTCAAAGCCTGCAGTTAGATTAATATTTATCTGAAGCTTAATACCAACAAATAACCTACAAACACATTTTCAGTTTTAAGAAATTATATATTTTGAAACAATTTTTTTTGTTTTTTATCATATCATAGATACTGTATTAACAACAAATATAAGAGTAAAAATATGCTAAAGTACATCCAGTTCCAAGTAGTCAAACCGGGACTTTTTATTAATATTAATTCTAGTCATCAAAATGATATATATATTGACAAAATTGAAATATTACTTTAACCCCTAAATCTTCCAAGATATAAGAGTAATTACTGCATGACCAGTAGGGCACATATGCAGTTCACCAGTTTACTGACCAACTGATTTATCTGAACCAGCTTCCTGCCTTCTGGGAGATCAGTGATCGACCGATACTAACGTGATCAACCACTGTCCTCTTCTGCTCTGCCCTGAGAGGTTTGACTGTTAACCCCTCCCACCAGCTCATGTCTGCATGTTTGCAGTAAACAACAGTTGCTCCACTGTTGCCATATTAGGGGCTTTCTTGCTATATTTAGCCACATTTCAAACAAACAAACAAACAAACAAAAACAAAAAAATCGGTATCGGCCAGCATCAGATTCGTCGATTTTAAAGGTCAGGCTTTTTTAAAGGTCGGTGATTGGCCGAAACACTGCAACGGGTGCAAACAAAAAACCCTGAAGACAACGCGTGTGTTTCTGTACCTTGATTGGTATCAAAAATATTGACGTTCTTGGTGAACTTGGAGGTTTGGTGTCCTCCGCCTTGCCGCAGGCCTCCCAGCAGGCACAGCCTCCCAGCAGAGTCCCAGACCACACCGCCGTAGGTGCGCTTACACGGCAAAACGGGCAGCGAGGTCCAGGAGCGTGCGTCTGTGTCGTACACCTCGAAAGCTTTCACCGGTCGCTTACACTGACGACCACCTTCAGGAAGACAATTGTGTGTTTTGTTTTGACTTTTATTATTCTGGAAAAGGTGCCAAAAGCAGAGTAGGAAGTCTATTTACTCTGGAGTTACCTGCAACATAAAGCTTGTTGCCCAGCAGGTGGCAGGTGGCGTCGTAGCGAGGAGTCGGCATGGGAGGAAGTAGCGCCCAGACGTCCTTTCTGAGGTCGTACTGCTGCAGGACGCTGCGAGGGAGCAGGTCAGCGGCCATGCCTCCGACAGCCAGAGCACGGCTATCTGCCTCAGACAGACGTTTTAGGAAACTTCTCTTTAGTTGATCACAACTGTTCATTATAATAAAAAAAAATAATGCAACAGCATTAATGTACAACAGATCCCCATTCAGTCTTGGCAGATTCACCGATTCGCAGATTTTTTTCCCTCTCAGATCCCTCAGGGAGAGGAGAGCAGCACCGCCGATACGTCTGTGTGTGAACGCCATCTGTCTGTTCCAGCAGACGCTGACAGGCGCGACACTAAACACACACTCGTTTGAGGCTGAAAACAGAGCTAAACCCACAGCGAGCGCAACACTTCAGGTAGAAACGGAAGTGCGACGCTGATGTTAAAGTAATCACACCTCTACATAATAAGTAAATCAGTTCCCTTTAAACACAAAAGGGATGAAAATAATTTAATTACTTTTTAGTTTGTTTTTTTAATCACACATCTCTGGTGTGACGCATCAATAACTTCCCACAGCCAATGAAATTGCTCCATAAAAACCTATTTGACTTCTGAATGCTGAGTTTAACCTTTCAGCCAAAATCCTGGATGATCAGTGTTTGAAAAGTTTTGATGCATGGAGACGCCGACATGGACGATTCAGGATTGATTTACAAATGTCAGAACTCGATTGGCCTAATAACCTGGGTTGATGTTATTTGGAGGAATGGAGAAAGGAAGAACTGTGACATTTTATGTTCAATCCATAACAAAGTCACATGGAAAAGGCCAGGAGACCACACACACACACACACACACACACACACACACACACCACACACACACACACACCCCCACACACACACACACACACACACACACACACACACACACACACACACACACACAACACACACACACACACACACACACACATCCAGGCAGTGTAAAAGGTCCATAGACTTATGCAGTTGAGTCAAAAATCATCAGAATTATCTTGCTGTGTGAACCAGGCATTAGTGACATCAAAGTTTTTCTCTAACCATGAAGATGAGAAGAAATGAAAAACGGTCAGTAACATTTTACTGGGCGCTCCTCCTGCTCCAACAAATGCATGGCCTGTTGTGTGGAAGCTCTGAGATGTTCAGTATTTTTCGGGCGTGGAATTAATAGAGAAGTGATGAGCAAACAAAACGAACCAATGAGAAGCAAGCATCAACATGCGCCTTTGAGGTTATATTTAACTCTGCTTAACAAATTACCTCGACTCCTGTTACGGCTTTATTACATGTTACGCCTACGCTTCCATTTCCTCCCCTTTTTTAAGCTCATCAAAGATTTACAAGCGTTTGTAAAAAATTGAGAGCGTCCCTCCCATCCAGGTCAGTCCACAGATGTTCCACGGGAAGCTGAATCTGGGTTGTTTGGCTCGACATGAATTGAAGATGGCAGTTTCACAGGAGCGAGCGACAGAGACTGGGAGGATCTGCTGGGATGAACGGGATAAACTGCAGGTGTGAAAAGCCTCAACACACTCATCCAAGAAGACTGAGAGCTTTAACTGCTGCCAGCGGGGCTTCAAAGCCCCCCCGCCCGCCCGCGCCTTCAATTCAGCTCCGGCTCTCCATCGTGTTTCATCCAGTTCTTCCCCTTTCATTTGTTGCTTTTTCTTATTATTTTTACATAAACCTGTTCATCTGCATTTTCTTTAGAAGAGGCTAAACTTTAGCATGGCAGTTATCACCTTGTCAAGAAGTTTATTTCTGATGAGCAACGAGCCTGTTGAACAAGTCTGAGATGATTGATGGTGATTTTTGTTTGGGCAATTTGATTTTAATCATATCAAATTGGACTTGATTAAAGCAGCTCCTTAATTAGACAAAATGAGAAAATTGTGGACATCTTTCCTTTTGTTATTGTTATTATCTGATTGAAGAGCTGAGCTCATTTCATCTCGGAAACTGTTTTATTTTCAGAGGATTCATGGCGAGTAAGAAGATCAATCCAGAGGAGTAACTGCGTAACCGTGGATACCTTTCACAGTGATGGACACGCCCATCAGGGCCTCCCGCAGAGCGCTCCTCTTCCTCCACCTGCCTTCCTCTGTGTTGTACATCTCCACCACCTTCAGAGGGCGCTGGTCTTCTCCCACTCCGCCCACCACCAGGATCTGCTTCCCCAGCACGGCCACGGCCGCGCCTGCGCGGGGGGTGGGCATCGGGGCCAAGCCTATCCAGCGGTCCCCCTGAACACACACGGCAAAAACATAAGTTAACGAGGTGAGAATTTCTCCCTAATTAATAAATAATAATGATAATAATAATAATAATAATAATAATAATAATAATAATAATAATAAAGTATCTGCATCTCCATCTGCATCAAACGTCTGTGCTGAACCAGAAAGATTTTCTGTGGAGGCTTGACTGAGCCACTTTGATTCCAAACATCAGTGTTTTCAACATAATTATTTTCTTTTTTTGTTTTCAAATGCTATATTCTTTAAAGCCTTACTATGTTAATAAATATAAGAGCATAGAGTAATATTGTCGCTGCTGCCACCACCTGTTTTGGAGGTGAACTACTTGTTCCACAGCTGTGGAAACAACCAATCCCTTTGCAGCACTGACCCCCCCACCTCCACCACCTGGATACGCACCTGCATTTCCTAACAGTAGCTAGGAAATGCAGGTGGGTTTATGGTAGCAGCAGTTTCTGAATTACATTATCACGTCAAAAGTGTAAAAAGTTTACTTTTTTAACAACATATCTGCCAGAAATTGTTCACATGTAGGAATGTCAGGCCTGTAGTTTTCACACAGAGGATTTTAGATTAACAGAATAAGAGTGCAGAAGTTTCTCAATGTACTGTACACGTTCTATTATAAACACATTTTTTTAAATATAAATAAAAACCTCATCAAGTTTAGCAAATAAATAAATAAATCACTCCTAATATGATTATCATACCGAAATATCTAAATAAGACTAATTTCTAGAGAACATAAAAAATAAAAAAGATTAAAAAGACTCAGTATGTCTAATTATGCAGCATCATCATCCAGGTGGTTCTGATTGGTACCTCAGGAGAGTACAGGTCCAGTTCGGGACACGGCCGGCCCGCAGCGTCGCAGCCCCCCAGCATATACATCTGCCCCCCCACCTCACACAGAGAGTGGTAGACGCGGCCGCAGGGCAGACGCGCCAGGCTCTGCCAGTGGAACTCGTTGGCACTGGGGAGCGCCATGACCCGGAACCAGAGGACGGGTCAGGAAACGATGGGGTGGAGGATGTAGGAGGGGGGAAAGCTGGACCTCAGGTTCTGTTGAAGGTTTCTGCTGAGGAGTCAGGGGATCTTCAGGCCGACTCGACGCTCTGCCATGTCACTCTGCTGGGCCCTGCAGAACCGAGCAGGAACAGGAAGAAGCCTGTTAGTATTCCCACACACAGTGAGACGCTCCGGCTCCTCGCGTTATGCAACGTGAGGGTTTCCCACGCCAACGCACCCGAGGTCCAACAGCAATGACTCAATAAAGATGAAGATCTGCCTAACTCTGTTTTCAGATATTATCTGCATCATCTGAGCTCCAACTTTATGCTGCATTCTCCTTCTAGTCCAATTGTTTCTAAAAAGCATAAGGATGCAGCACTGACCACACTGACCAGCACTGACCACACTTATTAAACATTTCTCTTCTTTTTATTATTTTTGCTTCATTTACTGGCGCAGTCATTTATATGTCAAACTGCTTTTCTTGCCCTGTAATTATTTTAATGACAGTTAAATCATTAATCAATTTATATATTTATCTCAATTGTAGAAAATATTTTTTTTGGGGGAAAAAAGCTTAAAAAAATATGAACAGTGGGAGTGAAGAGTGAAGTCCAGTTTCATTTAAGTACATTATTGGGTCATTTTCCACTGTGTGTTGCTCTGTGGGATAAAAATATGAGAAAATGTTAAAGGGTTTAAAGATTCTGAAAAAACTTTACAAGTCAGTATCTACAATTATTAAAGGACAACATTATATGTTTTCCAGGTACACAGTGCCATTTTGAAGCACAATTAAGTATCTATGCCATCTCCAGTTGTTATAAAAATGCTGTATTTATCAAATATGGCTTTAAAGGAATTTTACTTTGCATTTTAATGCATTGAAATTGGGTCTCTGTCTCTTTAAGAAACTCCTGCTCTTTCTGAAGCTCCACCTTCAGGAAGACGTCACATCATGGCTCCTCTATTAACCCTTTATAAGGCAATTTGACATAACACTGCCTCTTTAATTATCCAATGCAAATTAAAGTACTGTTTTAACTTCATTTTTTAAACAGAACTCTTTTATAAAGCCCTGGGAAAGCAGCACAGAAACTGACTCCTTTTTTTCTTTCTTTCTTTGGTTTCTTGCTCCTGCAGACGCTCAGCAGGTTGATCCAGTCAGCCAGAGAAACGCTGGCCTGTGTCATCCAGCGCTCACCCCAGAGGCCGAGGCCTGTCTCTCCACAGATGATTGGAGGAACCCGTCATCCGCCTGCGGTGTGGGCTGTCAGCTATCTGTCAGTGGAGGGAGTAGTTCTCTTTTTCACGCTCTGCTCACCATCCTCTGTTTCCCACTTTTGAATTTTGAATTTTACAATCAAATTGAAAATGTCTGCCTGTGTTTTTAGCTCTGCTTATCTTTCCCCCCACATACTGTTATATTGCTAATAAGAATTAGCAGTACTCATGATTTCATTTCTTCATGTGGCATCATTTATGTGTTATGAAGTACACACACATCCTCATGACCCCAATTAATACGATGGCAGTATAGTGATGAGTACAAAGAGGAAGCTAAGGGCAGACATTAGATTTAACATTTTTAAGTTTTGGAAACATTTCAAAACTTTCAAATGTATACACACAAATTGATTTTGATTTATTGTTGCATTACAATAAATACTTTTAGAGAATTTTAGCAGTTATAGGAGACAAAATACATATTATTATCCAGCTTGGTTGCCTAAAAAGTTTGGTTCATTTGGGGAGGTATGAATGCAAAATCAAAATCTGATGTGGACCGAAAAAAGCGAACTCTGGTGCAGTTCCAATGCATGATGTAAACGCCAAGAAGACATAGTCACGCTTGGACCACTTCCTTTTGGAGCAGGAAGCTGGAAGTGGACGAGAGTGCAGGACATTTCCAGGATAAATTAAATCAAAATAAACGCTCAAGTCCAGCACTGGCAGTAGAGCTGGCGACCAAAGACAAAAGAGAAATCCTACAATCGCTAAAATCTGACATTTTTGCTGTGAAGGATGTTGCGCTCAATGTCTTCTTTTTTGTGCAGTTTCCTTCACTTGGTACGGCGCCACCAAAGGTGAGGAGGGGAACAGGCTTTTCAAAGAGTGTGGTTGATTTCACACAGTGCAGTGTGAAAGAGAACCACAGCACCTGAAATATAACTAACATTGCAATTTTTGTCCCCAATCAAACCGAGTCTAACGGATTGTATGGCATGAAAACACCGTTAAAGAGAAGCAGGTAAGGTTGATTGGCAGAACTTCCCATCAGCAATGATGTTACTGCAGGACATTGTCTCTGCTGCAGAGACATGGAGCTGATAGCATGTCTTCACATGTTGTCATACAGCAACTTTCTTCAGTCAGATTCAGCTTGAAGATCTGACTCCTGATTTCAATTATTTAATAGACACAAATAAATGGTTTGAGTAAGAGTGACTTGAAGTTGTCATGTTAAACACTTAATGAATTAAGTTATGAAAACTTAGTAAATTGAGTTGGATGAACGTAAAAAAATGAGCTGATCAGACGTAGGATATGAAACTGGCATTGAACTCAATTGTTTCAAGATAAGTAAAGTTGCTTTAAGTAAATTAACTTAAGTTGGTTAGATTTGAACATTTTAAGTTAATTGAACACAAAAAAGTAAGTTGTCATCGCTTTGTTGCGCTTTGTTGTAGTTTCTAGTGCCAAAATGTTCGTACATTTGAAATACAATAAACTGACGTACAAGTCGCTTTTTTAGCAATATTGGTTAAAAATTCACTGGTTCCACTAGCAGATTATTCCACGTTTTTCCATGTTCTGCCAGTGGAACAAAAGCTTTTTGATAAAAATGAAGAAATTATTGATTTAAAACAATCTTCCATCTTGCTGCTTGTAAGTTAGTTATTATTTCAAGGGTTTTAGGATGAGCCCCAGAAAATAGAGCTTTTTCGCTTTTGCACTGTGATGTTTGAGTTACGACATCATTTCATTTCTCTTTGGGCTCAATAAAGTATGTCTGAATTTGGACTGAAGTAGGAAACCTCTGCATGCAGCTGCTTGCTGTGGATTTTGTGTTGGGTTTTCAGTTTGCAGCAGGAGGAGTGAAGCAGCATGCCACTGTGCTGGAAGAAGAAATTGAAAACCGTGAATCCTTTTCCAGCTCGGTAACACAGGAAAATCCAATTTCTCAGTGTTTGACCTCAGACCCAGTCACCGGCTGACTGACTGTCAGATCTCCAGGTATAATCTGTGAGTTTCCACTCACACTCTGTCCTCACTTCAGGAAAACTTTATTACTTTGAGGACATTTATTTAACCAGCTAATTTAGGCATCGTTCTTTTCACTCTGAATCATTTTGTCACGCGGTAAAAGTTAACACAACCTACCATAACACAGAACAGACAGCAGCAGCTGTGTTTTTAACTTTCACCAGCAATCTGTTTGTTTTCCTCCAACCTCAAGTCTTCATCTCCTCCTCATAAAAAGCAGCTGTGGCCTTGCAGACTGATCTGCCGTCTCTCCTGTTAAATTTTCTATCTTTGTTGCTGTGATGTCAGGTGCTTGTATTTTTTTTCTTTTTTATTAGATTTTTTTTCTCCCACCCTGTCATCCCTCAAGAGCTTTCTGCTTCCTGCACGTAACCCACTTCTGGTGCCTACATGCCTGTTTTTTTTTTCTTTCCAGGGAGGAACGGGGGTGGAGGTTTATCACTGATGAGGGAGAGGAAGCGTGGAGGATAAACCCACAATGCATCACGGGGTTTTATTGCCTCTGCCTTAAATTGTGGCCATGAAAACAACCTTCTGTGTCACGCAGGCGGCGAGCGACACTAACCGTGACCGCCGGAGTCGGGGCGGCTTTTCAGGACGCGGGAAGGACTTTGGACTCAAATTTAGACAGAAGAGTCTTTCAGCAGTTTGTCCTTTTGAGCTTCACATCCTCCCCTTCCCAATTCTCCCTCTTCCCCCTCCCCCTGTGACCTCCCCCATCACCTCCCCCCACTCTGTCTGCTTTATTATTGCGCTTCATCTACCTGTCACACCTTTGATCACCTCGCAGGCGCCGGAATGAAGAACAAAGAGGAAAGACAAAGAAGAGCGTCCTTCAAAATAAAATCTCCCTCGTTTTCTTTCTCTTTTTTTTTGTTTTTTTTAGCGAGCGAGGACAGGTTGCCATAGCAACAGTTGGGTTCCTCTCTCTTTCCTCACACAAGTCTTTTTTTTAACTTTGCACATGATTGCTTACAGCTCAGTTCACTGTTAAAAAGGCAGAAAGATGAAAACCAAAGGAGCGAGTCGCCCTCCGCCAGGCCGCCCTCCGCCAGGCCGCCCTCCGCCAGGCCGCCCTCCGTCAGGCCGCCCTCCGCCAGGCCGCCCTCCGCCAGGCCGCCCTCCGTCAGGCCGCCCTCCGCCCTCCGCCAGGATGCCCTCCGCCAGGATGCCCTCCGCCAGGTCGCCCTCCGCCCTCCGTCAGGCCGCCCTCCGCCAGGCCGCCCTCCGTCAGGCTGCCCTCCGCCAGGTCGCCCTCCGCCCTCCGACAGGCCGCCCTCCGCCAGGCCGCCCTCCGCCAGGCCGCTTGCTTAAGGAGCGGGAACCGGCTCGCAGGGTGCGTTAATCGGCAATCTGTAACCAATTTAGGTTGCCGTATCGTTATTTATTCTTTCTTTTAATTAACTGCTTGAGCAGCTTGAGATCAACAGTAAGCCCACCAGCATCCTCTGAAGTGATTCACAATCAGCATGCTTCCAAGTTGCAACTTTTAATTAGGCTGTGTTTCTGCCCTCCCTGCGCTCGCGCTCCAAATGGGGAAGACTCACTCTGGAAACCGGAGCACAGTGAAAAACGTCTTCTTCTTTCGAACCGTCTGTCCAGGTCTGAGTGGCTGCAGAACGACAGGCAGGATGAGCAGCAGAACCGACTGGAGGGATAACTCTAGTCTGAGGCTGTTTTCACAACTGATAGTCCATCAGAACCGTCTCGATCGGGGAGCAAAGTTACAATATTTGCTCCACTTTCAGCTGATGTGGTTCTATTTCACATTAGACTGTCAAGACCAAACTATTTGACATGTCTGTTCCCCTCCTCACCTGTGATGGCAATGAATGCACCAAGTGAGGGAATCAACACAACAACATCTGAAGAAGACGCCGCAGCTTCACAATCTGCAAGCAGGAATGCAGCAGTCAGATGTTGTAGGATTTCTATTTTGTCTTTGGTCAAAGGCTCCTGACATTTCTCCTGACACCGCGACACACACAGGCATGTTTTGGTTGTATTTACCCAGAATGCCTTGCGCTGTTGTCTGCGTCCTACTTTTGGGGCGGTCTCTGGTCAGTTTGCTTTCACATGCGCTGGAACCGAACCAGAGTTCACTTTAACCCAAACTGAGGATTGTGCTCAGACCAGATCGGGGCTGCAGTGGAGGCTCTATCACTGTATGAAAAACATCAAATAATATAAACAGTTATTGAGTATTTTACCCATTTGCCCAGAAGCAGCAGTTGAAAAGGCTCGGTAAGAGAGATAAATGTGTTGGAATAGCTGGACTGACGGAACCGGATCCTTTTGACTTCGTCCATTTTTAATCAAACTTGCAGGAAGTTGATCCAGCATCTCTGTTGTCAAATCAACCAGCCAGTCAAGGTGAACCGTGAGGATCCGTTGCACTGGGAGAGATTCAGGACTTGATCATCCAGTTTGGATTTTTGGCAGGGACATCAGGAATGCTTATGAATTAGTTCTGATCAGTCGGTGAATACAAATGGAAGCCGATGGACACAACGCCTGAAACGGACGGAGCAGCAATCAAACAGGCAACCCACAGATTGCCTACAACTGTTGCCACCGTCATCACCAGGTGTCCCTGCTGACAGTTTCAAATCCCGTACTTCAAAATGCGCATGTGTGTTTTTTTATTTTGTACATGCAAACGTCTGCTTTCAGCAGCAGGCTGTCCATGGCTTGGTTCTTGCAGAGGGAGGCTGAGTTTTGTCTGAGTCGCTGAGGGTAACCAGGACCAGCCATGTAAAGCCAAAACCCCGGAGACCTGCTGCTGTAAATGAGATTAAGAAATAGCTTTGCCTCGCATCGACTTTGTCTTCTGCCGCCTTTCACATGAAGGTTTTGCAGCTTCTGAGAAGCAGGTGTGTTCACTGAGTCAATGCATATTAACCTCTACAAAAATCCATTTTAATTAAAAAATGCAAGCTTCAGAAAAATAAATTCCTCACGGGAAAATTATGTGGCTCACATGTGTCCATTTCTGTCAGCTCCTGCTTCGGTGAGGAAGTTCTGCAGTCAAACTTAGAGAGCTTTTTTTTTTTTTTTTTTTTAATAGATTGAAGTCTGAACGTAAGGGACTTTACCCCCCACCCATCCCCCCCCTTTTGGGGCAAAACTTTAAACCCTGCTGCATGTTGAATAGTTCAAAACCCAAACAAATCTCCAGCAATCTACCTTTTAAGTCAGTCATGTCTGTCTGGACGTGGGATGAGCCTGGAAGAAATAAACAGCCACAGTAACTTTCTCTGACAGACTCTAAAACACGGTGACCTATTTTTCCTCCTGCAGAGGTCAGATAAAACACCTGGTGTGCTCTGTTCTGCTCCCTCTCTCACCGGGCTTTTTGTTTTTGTGATTTTGGGAACACACAGATCAGCAAGGGGTCGTTTATTGGCTTCTATTTAATTAGTCTGCAGTATTCAAATCGGGCATCTGTGCTGCAGTCTGTAGCTGACGTCACTGCGCAACTAAAGTTGCCAAAATCTGTCCGGAGCCTGGCTGTGTGTGGGTGTGTGTGCGTGTGTGTGTGTGTGTGCATGAACGGTGAGCTTTATCACACGGACAGCGTTTCGCACCAACCTGGTTTTAATAATGCCACATTAGTCCCACCGGCAGCTTCCCCTCCGTCGTTTGATATCGCCGACTCTGTTTTATACCGTTTCAGCTCCCCGTCGTAGGTCACACTCTATTAATAAAGGTTTCGTGGGATAAGACTGCGGACATGTAGAAAAATGGAGACACCTTTTCTTGTGCAGCGCTGCGGGCGATTCTGTAAAACACAGACAGGTAGTTTTTCATGTGAGAACTGAGAAAATGTATGGACAGAGAAAGAAGATCTCTGCTCACTACTGCAACTAAAATTAGAGACCATCTGGGCCAAACACTGGGCAAAACAAAGAGTTTCCAGATGAATTAAGTGATTTAGTGCTTCGTGTTATCTAAAAGTCGGGCATTTATTGCTTTTTAGATACTTGTTGTTCTGATACTTGAGTTTAAAGATGCAGTGTGACATTTTCCAGGCACATAGTGCCATGTTATAGAACAATCGAGTAACTATGTTAACTTTAGTTTTTAAAAAACTGCTGTATATATCAAATATGACTTAAAAGGAATTTGCCTACGTAATGTAATGCCTTGAAGTTGGGCTTCTACCTCTTTAAAAACTCCTGATTTTTCTGAAGCTGCGGCTTCAGGAAATCATCACAACATGGCTGCCCTGTTAACCTTTCAATACATTTTCACTGAGAAGCAGCTCCTATAATGAACTCAACTGATTCACAGTTCCACCAGATGTTTGCTAATTGCTGCTGGCTAGTCTGAAGGAGCTGAGTGGGGGAGTCGCAGGGCAGGGTTGCTCTGTGAGGGCGGGGGAGCTTTGTCTTGAAGGAGGCGCAAGGTCCACCCAGGTGTTTTGCACATCTGAATGGTTGCCACAGAGATTAAAAGATTTCTCCAACATACATGAAAGACTCCAGGAAGGTTTTTGATGAGGGAATAACTTTCTAGCATGACGTAAAGCTAAAAAAAAGAGTTGTTTTTACATACTACGGCCCTTTAAAGCAAAACTGTAGAATAATAATAATAAAAAAAACATATATTCTTTCAGTGTTACATATGTCACATCCAAATGTCAGGGACTGGGGAAAACCTCAACAGAGTGCACAGAGTTCACGCCTCCAGGAAGTGATTGTTTCTGAGGAGCTGCGGGTCCAGACTGTAGAACAAGACGCTGCTTTTAAAGTGAACTGTAGACAACCACTGGGAGTGATGCTCAAAATACAAACACAATGTATCAACATTTGTCTTAAATTTCATTTCTAGATTATCGTCACGGTAAAATTCTCCTTCCATAAAAACGTAATTTTTTAATTAAACCTGCAAACCAAGCAACAAAAAAATAAAAAATAAAGCGCCCTGCATATTGTAAATTTGAACAGATGGTGATTAAACATGAAACACAACCTAAAATCTCATTACTCTGAGCTGCCGACCACCTGACTTTAGGAAGGAAGCGGAAGAATTCGGTTTAAACTAAAACAACTGAATTTGAGGAGACAGCTCACAGCGGGGTGTGCGGCGGCAGCAGGGGAGCACTTCTTGATGGTCATTAATTAAAGCTTCCAGAGGAAAATGATTTTCAGACCGATCACTGGCGCAGACTCAGGAAGCGATCTTCTTTCCTTGAGATAATTACCATTCATCTTAACACCTTTCTCTTTGCTTCCTCTCACACACAAGGTGTCAAATATTCTGCAGGCGCTGCATCTTTTTCCTAATGTCCTGTCACAGCAGTGGAATATTTACATAAAGCCATGGACACCTAGTTCACACTTCAGCAAATTGGTTTCCCTAGCTGGATGAAACCTCAGCACCAAAGAAGCCACTGCTTAAAAACAGCTCAAAGTTTTTTTTTTGTTTTTTTTCTGCGAATATAATTTTACTTCAAGGATATATTTCCTGTTTCCTCTTTGGTATGGAGAGAAGCAGATCTGACATCCAAGTTTACTGTGGGTCAACGCGCAGAAACATTAAAGGAACAGTATTAGTGCCATTTTATAGCACAATCAAATAATTACATTACCTTTGGATATGAAAAATTGTTGCATATATCAAATGTGACTTGAAATAAATTTGACTTTGTAATTTAATGCCTTGAAATTGGACCTCTGTCTCTTTAAAAAGTTCTGCTCTTTCTGAAACTCCGCCTTCACGACATCACTCCTCTAACAATCCTTAAACAACATTTATTACCAATGTTGCTCTGAGAAGCAGCTGCTATCATGAGCTCAGCTGATGCAACAATCCACCAAACAGTCAGCTAATTGCTGCTGGCTAGTCTGAAGGAGCTGAGTGGAGAAGTTCAGAAGCTTTGACGTTTTCTGAGAAGTTGTGCCTGTGCATGAAAGGATCAAGAAAAAAACTAGAGATATGTTTTTAATAAAGGAAAAACATTATAACACAATAAAAAGCTAAAAAAAAAAGCTAAAATTGACTCTTTTTTGTAAAAAAAAAAAAACTCAATTTTTTTAACAATTGACCTCACCACACCTACAAAATAAAAATCACTTAAATTTTCGATGCATGTGAAAAAACTCAAAAAGCATAATTACTGGTATCTCAGGAACGGTTTTGTTTGAGAATAAAAACCCGGGCAGCAGACGCCGCTGCGCACTTTGCTGAAGCCCAACCTGCGTCTGAGCAGCAGTAGCTGGAGCAGCAGAGGCTGTTCCTCTCATTGTGAACATTCCTGCCTTTGCATATTTAGCGCGGCTGGCTGACAGACTAACAGCTCAGCTTGTTTCTAGCCCCGGCTCTGACATCCAGCCCGGAGATAAGACGAGGCTCCGGCTGATCTACGTTTCCTCACAGGACTGGGCCAAAGTGCTGCGCGAGAAGAGAGGAGAAGAAGAAAGCCAGTGGGCTGCAGAGAGCTGCCCCAGTAAAATCTCCTGCGGAGCTGAGCCGGTCTCCGGACCAACAATAGCCTGTGCCGCTCTGTCCACGAAGCCTGTTTCTCATCATGATGCACAAAACACATCATGTATGAAAAGAAGCAAACGCAGAGAAACTCTACGGAGAGACGGAACAATGCTGCCATGGCTACAGAACAGCTTCATCAGCTGCTGAGGTCAGAGCCGTCATGGAGGCTTCCCACTGAACTAATGTGATACTTATACAACACAAAAGAGAGCATCATTATGGAAATGGGGGGAAAATTACATGAGTGACTTTTTCTTTTTAAATTCAGATGTGAAAGGTTTTAACTGTAGTTATAGGATCTGGTTCTTCTACAAACTTTACAGATTTTTCTTTGGAAAATGGCTCCAGTTCAGATGGATGGAACAACCAATTTCTATGGACAAGTCTTGCCACAGATGTTCAATGATATTTAGGTCTGGACTTTGATTAGGCCATTCTAACAAAGAGACGTAAACAACTCTACTGCAGCGCTCGCTGCATATTTAGGGTTGTTGTCCTGCTGAGAGAAGAACGTCAGGTCCTGAAATTCACACAGCAGGTATTGGTCCTCATTGCCAATTTTTTGCTGAAATCCAATTATTATATATATTTTTTGCATAGTTTTTGGCATACTGTTGGGATCTCTGCACGTTGCAAAAAACACAACAAAAACAACGGCGGATAGCATTGTGCTGGCTCGTTCGGTTTAACACAACCTCTGATAGGAAATGATGTTACATGAGCACCGGGTTACTGTTTTCTAAAGAAGGTGGAAGCTAAGGGTCAAAAGTTCACACCTGTTTCACCTACATGCTAAAATCACAGCGCCATCCGGTGGCCTGGCATGACAAACCGCAGCTGAATCACGGTGTCTCGGCAGTGCCGTCTAATCGTGGAACTTTTCTCCAATCAACATCCAACCACACAGAAACAGCCTGATTGGGAGACTCTGTGGTTCTTTGTGCTCGACACTCTTCCACAAAGGTGAGATTTGTAACATTACAAATATTTATCTTGCCTTCAGATGCTCACCTTAGCTACGGGGTCTCTGCTGGGTCACAGCTTCTTGCCTGCACACGACAACACCAACGAGTTACACTGCAGACTGCGGCTGCAGTTGATGAAACATGGCCGCTCTGTGTCTCTTCGCCAGGACTTGCTGCTATTTGAGCTTTGGACGCCAAAATAGCAAATGCACCAGCACTGCTGTTCCTCTGTCTTTATTGGTGCTGATGAAGTGCATTAACAGCCTTAATCTGATAGCGTGGGCTCCAGGCCCTCTAATGAGACAGCTGAGACCAAATCATTTGTGGCTGATTGTTGGCCGAGGCTGTTGTGGAGCAGTTGGTGTTTCTCTTATCTGCCTTTAAAAGGCAAACAGCTCAAATTGCTCCTCTCTCTCTCCCTCCCTCCTTCCTTCGCCTGGATTCCCTTCTGTGTTGCTACATGTCTAGTATTTTGAGAGTGTGTGGCTCGGCGTCAGTGTGTTCAGCTGGCAGATGCTGTAAGAGCAAAAACACTGTCGCCGTAGCAACTCAAGTGTGTGTAGTCCCTGGAGAAAGGGAGATTGTTCCATGTAACATTTAATCCTAAAGAGTCTTTACAGCTCACCCTCCAGTGTGGCTGAATCCACACACTTCTGCAAAAAAAAAAACAAAAAAAAAACAACAAAACTAATAATAAGAGCAGGCCAAAAGTCTAAATCTTTCCGATGTTTGTTGGCAGTTGCGATAAAAGGTGGAGGTTCAATCAGTTATTAGACTCAAGGTGAGGCAAGGCAGTTTGTTGATACGATGCAATTCAAACAGCTTTATATGATTGAAATGCATCGCAGATACCGAACAGTGCGGCAGGGAAGTGTTGAGTTTTAAGCTTGTTTCTCCTCACATCTCAGTGAAATTCCACAGAGTGGTGGTCAGAAGGAAGCGGTATGATAAGGACATATTTCCAAAAGCCTTCATGTAAAACTGGAGAGTTCCCACTGACCCTTTTCCATTTTTATGTAGGTTTCTGTTAAAGCTGCAGGGACTGCAGACCGACCGCTTCGCTTTCAGTCTGAGGACAAAATGGTGCAACAGCTTCACCTCAACCAGTTTTATTATTCTGCAAGCTTAAAGTTCAGAGCCCAGCATCAAAGCATTTGAAAAAAAAAAAAATTCAACTTCCCATTTCTGAAGGCTTCTGTCAAACATTCACAAGAATAAGGGGTACGACTTTTGATCTCTAGTCTAAGCTTTATGGAAAAAGTACACTTTTATAAACAAAACTAAAGATACTTTTGTGGATTTTTATGCTCAATGTTAAGCACTC